TGCTGTCTGTCCTCTTCGAATTGGCATCAATCTCGCACTATCCACATGACACTAATCACTTATTTTAAAAAATCTCAAACATCATTTCATGGGTAATTCAACAACTATAAAGGGCCTCCCAAAGTGGTAAAAGATTCCTTATAACACCTTGTCGAGGGGCGTATCAAGCGGCGGAGCCGACTGCGAAGTCTGGCGGCTTTTTCTGAAAAAAAAAAAAAAAAGATACCGGTATGCGGTATCCGGGATACTGCGGGATTTTCGTGAAAAAGGAGCGGGAATACGGGATCAGGACCCCCTTTTCAGTCCCTGAGCCCACGATCCTGATTCCTGCTGCGAAGAAAACATCTGCCGACGCGATCGTGACTGGTTTGCTTTCATATGATGACATTTTCCTGACAGAAGGGTGTTGGGAAAGACACCTCGTGTGAATCATACGTGACAAAATCCGCCGCGCCTAAGCCAATGAAGAAAAGTCTCCTGGAAGGCTCCATATAATGAAATTATAAGGAATTGTATGGAGCTTAATCATGAGAAGACACACAGGGCTAAAAAGGGGAGTATTTACATGCAAGAAAAGTACTCACTGGAAAGGAATAAAAGTGAAATAAATAGAGGATATTACACGGTGGCGCGAAGATATGAATTTTATTTTCGATTGGCAAAACAATATTTTACGAACGAGCGCAGCGAGTGAGTAAAATATTGTTTTTGCCACGAAAAAATAAAATTCATATCTTCAAGCCGCCATGTAATGTTCTTTTTATTATATAGACAAAAAGACATCGATAAAATGATAGATTTTTACTCGCCAAAAAGTAAGTGTGACGGCTCAGATTTACAGTACAGCAATTTAAGACATTGGTTACAATAATCTTGAGAAATAACACTGACCTGAATAGGCTCTACAATGACAAAATATAAGCAAAACTTTGAAAAATGTGTAAGTAAAATTCAAAAGACGCAAGACGCCTACAAATTTCGAAGGAAAATTACCGAAATTATGTTATCGATAAACTCACGTGTGAGATTATGGAAAAT